TGACAGAATATATTTTTAAGAGTCTGGTTTTTATTTGTTTACATGATAATTTTGATACATTTCAATTACAAAGCTGAGATGAAAGTTTGTAAACTGCTTTCATACGCTTGAATTCGATTTCCTAGTACTCGCGGGTGTCAACTGCTTAATCTCCTGGCGAATATTTTCTTTGCTTTCATGACCGAAGCGAAACATTTTTTTAGCCGTCCCGCTTGACAGCTTCAAAACTGAAATAGTTTTTAGGTTCGGGTGTCACTTAGTTATCATAGTGTCAAGAAAAATGGCCTATCCGCCAGAAATTAAAAATGTATTACTGGTTGCCTGCACAACCGCAACGTATCCGCCAGAAATTAAAAGACTTTTTCAGGCGCCATCTTTTAGTCAAGTCGAGAAGTAAGGGAATCAGACAATAGAATTGTCTGGTATGAAGAAGTACGCTTTCCGGAGAATTGGGGAAATTTCGAGAAGCAGTCAATAGAGTATATAAGCCGGAGCCATCGACAACTGAGACAGTTTTGAAATTTGAATATACCGCGTGGAAATTGAAAATCGGACAATTTGGTGAAGGAATAGTTAGTTTGTTGTGTGTTATAAGTTAGTAATTGTGTATAAAGTGAGAAAATAAATTCGTTAAGTATTTTATCGTGAGTTTAAATAGTGGACCCACGGAATCCGTAACAATTGGTGTCGGAAGTGCGATTCAAGAGGATTTTAAGAAGAAATTAAGTGGATTGGAAGATTTTTAGACCGAATTGGAGTAGTTTTATGGTTGGTACAAGGGAGCAAGCGAAGAAAATGGAGGAAGTAAGCAAATTATTGGGCGATTTTATGGAGAATATGAGAAGAGAGAAGGCAGAAGAACAAGAAAGACTCCGTAAAGAACGAGAAGAGGAACGAGCTCGATTGGAAAGAGAAAAAGAAGAGGAAAAACTACGACGTCAAGAAGAACAAGACCAACTACAGAAAATGCTTATGGAGAATCAAGAAATTAGACAAGAACGGTTGGAGAAAATTGTAGAAAATCTAGAAGTGCGTCGCCAGAAAGATAAACAAGAAGAACAGGACCGGCTTGAGAAAATATTAGGAAATCTAGAAATTCGTTTGGAGGAGCGACGTCAAAAAGAAAGACAAGAAGAACAGGACCGTATTCAGAAAATTTTAGAAAATCAAGAAATTAGACAAGAACGGTTGGAGAAAATTGTTGAAGATTTAGAAGTGCGTCGCCAGAAAGAAAAATTAGAAGATCAAAACCGTTTTAAAAAGAACTTTGAAGAACTGGAAAAAAGGCAAGGCATTCACCTTCAAGAAGCCGTAGAAGATCTTGAGGAACGCCTTCAGCAGAAAATGGAAAAATTAGAGATGGACCTACAGAAGACCAAGGTACAAGTAAGGACACCTGGCGTTCATGGAACTGCGAACCTCAAGGCCCCGACCTACGATGGACAAAACCACCTGGACGATGTACCACCGCCAGTTTGAAGCAGCGGCTGCTGCCAATGGATGGACTGACCAAGAGAAAGCAGCAGCACTTGTCATCGCGCTGCGAGGCCCTGCCCTGAACTGTTGCAAACTATTCCTGCAGCCCAACAGCAGGAATACAAACTTTGGTCGCTGCACTGGACAGAAGATATGGCGACCAACATCGACGTCAACTTTACCAGGCCCAGATCAAGACACGCATGCAGAGGTCCGGAGAGAGTCTGCAGGAATTTGAAGCAGACTTACGTCGGCTGGTACACCTAGCGTATCCTGAAGCACCGGAAGGATTTAGGGAGGAACTCGCTGCTCAGTGCTTTATCAGCGGACTGAGGGACAATGAATTACAGAGGGCGCTGCAAATATCGCGATTTTCTACCAGCAGCGAAGTACTCGTCAGGGCGCTGGAAATCGAAGCTGCTTTTAGCGCCATCCCTAGACCGAAGATAGGCTCGGTAACGGTTGAGGAACAGCCAAAGAGTTCTCACATACGTTTGGAGGAGATGTGTAAGAAAGTCGACAAACTATGTGAGCTACTAATAAACAAGGGAGTCAACAACACCCAGACAGAGAACCAAAGAAGATTCCAGGATATGAGGTGCTATGGATGCGGCAGGAATGGCCACATCAAACGAGATTGTCGCATCCAAATGCGATTCCATTCACCATCCAGAGAACATCGGCACATTGGAAGATCCCAGGACATAAAGTTGCTATAGATGTGGCAGGAATGGCCACATCAAACGGAATTGTCGCATCCAAATGCGATTCCATTCACCATCCAGAGAACATCGGCACATCGGAAGATCCCAGGACATAAGTTGCTATAGATGTGGCAGGAATGGCCACATCAAACGGGATTGCCGCGTCCAAATGCGATTCCGTTTACCATCGAGAGAACATAGGCACCAGGAAATCAACACTAATGAGCGAGTATTGGCTGAAGAAAACAGAGCCCCTAGGATGTTTTCCGTTAGAGTCTAGGAAAACCGCTGACAGTTTGGTGATCAACGGGAAGGTCAATGGTAGAAGAATTCGAATGACTGTGGACACAGGCGCTATGGTATCGTTGGTGCGGACTAACTCGGTACAAGGATTGAAGATGATGCCTCTTAGAAGAAGAGTGTATTTACGTACAGTTACGGGGGAAATGGCCGTTGTACGGGGAGAGGCTTTCATGGAATTGGAGTTAGGGAATTTGAAGTTTTGGCATAGCGTTTTGGTGGCTGACATTGAAGATGATTTTATCATGGGTATGGATGTGATCAGTCAACATGGTTTTTCGTTTGATCACCATAGAAACATCCTGAAAATCGGAAATGAGGAATTTTCTGTATCTAAAGAGAAGAGACCAGGAAATATGGAAGAAAGATCATCGAAAATTGTGATGATACCTGGTGATACCAAGAAGACTGTGTTCGGGAAACTAGAAAAACCGCTGGGTGCCGTGTAGGACGGGTACAAATTATCGACAACGACCTAGATCGACGACGAGCTACCTTGGACAAGAAAATGCAACATCGCGAAAGCACTATCAGAGTAAAGAATTTTAAACTGAGAACTGACGAACAATGGACGACGTTACAATTGAGGAAAGATCAAATGGAAGATCCAGACATCGGAGCAATACTACGGCTCAAGGAAGGTAACGGCGAGAGACCACCGTCGCAGGATATTGCGGACAGAGGGCTGGTTTTCAAAGCTCTCTGGGCTCAGTGGAATTCACTGGTGATTGAGAATGGATTGTTAAAGCGCACGTGGGAAAGTGCGGATGGCAGGACCGTAACAACTCAGTTACTGGTACCAAGGAAGAAAGTCACCCAGGTATTGGAAGAAATTCATGGTGGTAAAACTGGAGCCCATCTTGGGGTAAACAAGACCCTGAGCAAGCTGAGAGACCTTTTTACTGGGTGGATTATTGTGAAGATGTTAAGAAATGGTGTCAACGTTGTAAGATTTGCGCAGCTAGACAAGGACCAAGTACTCGATCTGGAGGAAAAATGGAACAAGATAACGTTGGACTGTCGTTCGAAAGAATCGTTAGGAAGGAAAGATTATTGGGAATTCATAAGGCCGTGAGAAGTAAGATTACGCTAGCCAGTGACCGGATGAAAGCTCGTTACGACCTCAGAGCTAATTCTACGGGATTTCAACAGGACGATAGGGTATGGTTGTATAACCCACAGCGCAAGAAAGGAAGGTCCCCAAAGTTAACTCCAGCATGGGAAGGTCCTTATACAGTCATCAAGAGGATAAATGATGTTGTGTACCGGATTCAACGCAGCCCTAGAAGTAAGATGAAAGTAGTTCATCTGGATCGATTGAAGAGATACCAGACAGGAAACCTTGATCGGGACGATCAAATTTGAGAAGGGGGCAATGTCAAGAAAAATGGCCTATCCGCCAGAAATTAAAAATGTATTACTGGTTGCCTGCACAACCGCAACGTATCCGCCAGAAATTAAAAGACTTTTTCAGGCGCCATCTTTTAGTCAAGTCGAGAAGTAGGGAATCAGACAATAGAATTGTCTGGTATGAAGAAGTACGCTTTCCGAGAATTGGGAAATTTCGAGAAGCAGTCAATAGAGTATATAAGCCGGAGCCATCGACAACTGAGACAGTTTTGAAATTTGAATATACCGCGTGGAAATTGAAAATCGGACAATTTGGTGAAGGAATAGTTAGTTTGTTGTGTGTTATAAGTTAGTAATTGTGTATAAAGTGAGAAAATAAATTCGTTAAGTATTTTATCGTGAGTTTAAATAGTGGACCCACGGAATCCGTAACAATAGTAACTAAATAATCAATTCGACCAAAAATCGAAAAATACATTTTAATTATTTGATTTTCAAATACAATTTGGTGTGGAATTTTCTTACCGAATACCACACGAGGTCAAATTAAATCCGGACAGTGGTATCACTTCTTCTTCGTGTGCCTTCTCCTCATTGGAGGTTGGCGACCATCAATTGGAATTCCTCCCTGTCTTGAGCCAAACGGATAATTGCACTGGCCTCTCCTATATTAAACCACTGGCGCAAATTCCGCAACCAGGAAAACCGTTTACGCCCGATGCCTCGTCGTCCTTCAATCTTTCCCTCAACGATCAGCTGTAGGAAACTATATTTGTTATTTCGCAAAATATGACCAAAATATGCTGCTTTCCGTCGTTTTATTGTAGTTAATAGTTCTGGGTCCTTACACATTCTTTCTAATACTTCGAGATATGTTACTCGTTCGGTCCAGGATATTTTCAACATTCGTCGGTATAACCACATCTCAAATGAATCCAAGCGTGACATGGGCCGTGCCTTCAACGTCCATCCCTCGACTCCGTATAACAATGTAGAGAGTACATAGCATTTGGTAGCTCAGCATCGAGTAGTCAGATTCAGGTCTCGGTTGCATAGTAGAGTTTTCATTTTGAAAAAAGTGTTTCTGGCTATTTCAATTCTATGTTTGATTTCTTCATCAGGATCCCATTTATCATTCAGCCAGCAACCCAAGCACTTAAATCTTCTTACCCTTTCTATATTTTGATCTTCCACTTGTATCCTGATATTTTCGATATTTTGTTTGCTGACAATCATAAATTTTGTTTTGTTTATAATACTGCTAACTCTGTCCACCAGGCACTGCAAATCCTTCTCATTGCCAGCTAGGAGCACCGTATCGTCAGCATATCGGATGTTATTAATAGATTTACCATTTACCTTTATTCCCACTTCTAAATCTTCCAACGCCTCCTGGAATATCGATTCAGAATATAAATTAAACAGAAGTGGCGATAATATACATCCTTGTCTGACGCCTTTAAGAATTTCTATATCCGTTGTTGACATATTTCCGATTTTTATATAAGCTGACTGATTCCAATATAAGTTTCTAATGATTCTGATGTCTTTGCCATCTAACCCAATCCGCTTTAGTAAATGTATCAGCTTGTCATGTTTCACGTTATCAATTTCAATTCTTGTCTGCTGATCGAGGCATTTTTGGACTAAAACCTGTATTGAGAACAAAGCATCTCTGGTTCCCAGCCCACTTCTAAAGCCGAATTGAGTTTCACTTATATTTTCGTCAATCCTTCTCCATAGTCTAGAGTGCAGGACACGCAGAAACACTTTTAATGTATGACACATAAGGCTTATCAGACGATACTCATTGCATCTTTTGGAGTTTGACTTTTAGGAGCGTTACAAATGTGGATTGCAGCCATAGTTTAGGTATCTCTCCGGTGTTGTAGATGCGATTAAACAATTTAAGTAGAAGATTCATATTTTCTTCGTCCAACAGTTTGAGGATTTCAACATTTGAATCATCAGGACCGACAGCTTTTCCATTTTTAGTTTCTGCCAAGGCTTTAACTAATTCCTCCTTTAGTATGTCTGGTCCGTCTAAGCAATTGACCCATTGAATTGTTGACTCTCGATAATCATTAAAACAGTCCGTTTTGTAAGCTCTCCATATATCCAGTTCTTCTTGTTTGTCTATCACCAGTTTGTTTTTATCATCAATAAGATTTGCCCGGTATTGTACGTTTATAAGTGTGTGTCACCTCTTTGATCTTTTTATGAAGGTGAAAACTGTCGTGTTTTTGTTCCAGGGTTTCAATATCAGCGCACTGTTAGTTTATCCATTTCTCTTTAGCTATTCTGATTTCACGCTTGATGATTCTGTTGATCTTATTATAATTTTCCAAGTTCTTCTTTTGTAGTCTTCTTTCCTCCATTAATTGTAATATTTTATTGATCATCCAGTCTTTCCTTGTATGTTTACTCGCCTTCCCTAGGATCTCCAACGTAGTATCTTTGGCTGTATCTCTGAGGTGGTATCACTAGTGAAAATTTACTTCCTAGCACACAACCAGAGGATATTGGTACCCAGGTACAGTATAAAGTTTATTATAATACTTTTCTTAGCGTCCAATCAAATGTTTTTTGGTGTTTGCGCGATCCTTACCACTTTTTTTCTCGTTAGCTCGTACGTCAAAGCATGGTCAAAGTAACGTCGTGTCAAGACCGTGGTGTCACGTGACGTGTACTTGAAGTATAACGTTTTATACTCAAAAAAATCAAACTTTTAAGTTAACGTAAAAAATATACGTTTATTCTATACACAAAGGGAATCGAAAATGTATACCTAATGTATTTTCCGTTGATTTAGAACTATCAAATTTGACAAGTAATACCGTCGTACTACTAACACTAAAATGATAAAAATACAAATAAAACGAGGTTTAATTAAAAGATAGATATATAAACTGCACACGTAGCGGGTATAGTTCAGTAAAAGAAGTAGAAAAGAAATTGATTATGAAGGATGACTGTAATTTTCTAAGAAACCCTTCATTTTAAAATGAATTGTGCGGATATCACTACCATTTATTTTTCAACTTTCTGTTTTGAAATCTTATAACTAATCCATTACTTTGAAATGTTTGTTTTAAAAATACAAAGAAAAAATGGCTTTTAATTTAGCAACAAACGTTCTTATGGGGCTTACAAACAATACGTTCTTATGGAGCTGATCGGGCCAATACTTGATGACATTGCCTTAGCCTATTCGCTGACAGAGAATTTTTAATCAGCCGACTATTTAATGGCATACTTGTAACCAATATATCCTTATGGAACCGCGCTCACATGCAATCAAATAGTCGGGCGATGGACTTCATAAGTATGTATTGTTTTCACTTTTGCAACTAAATAGTCGGCCGACTAAAAATTACAGGTTAGCGCGTACGCTTATTGTATCGAATTTCCCTTCACAGTACCCGTACTATTTAAAATCGTAAGGCAGGGAATTGGATCAACTTTCGTTTAGCTGAAATCCGTTATTAGAAAAAAAAAAAAATTTTGTGTTTAAAAAGCTACTGTGAACCACGGAAACACAAATTTTCCTGCGGAAATGCGTAATTTATAAACACAAAAATTTTCCTGCGGAAATAAGCTGTTTTCATTTTTTTCTAATTCAAAGAAAATTTATTAGACTTTAGGATAGCTGAAATCAGTTATATAAAAAATAAATATATTTTTGCCTTTTAGAAGCATTCACGAATTGAGGAAAATAAACATTTTCCTGCGGAAATAAACTGTATCCATTTTCTGAGGAAATTTAATAGACTTTAGAATAGCTGAAATCAGTTATATAAAAAATAAATATATTTTTTTTGAGTAATGAGCAATTGTTGTTTCAGTCAGTGTTTGACCGAGCTCGAAACAACAATGTAGAAATTAGTTTAGCAAATTTAAAAAAATCTTTTTTGTTTTGTGTTTAAAGGAAAAGTAATGTCGTTGGATATGAATTTTAATATTTTATAAAGGAAATGTCGGAGATTGCGGTTGTTGCTCTAAATAATGATACACAGGCTTTGGATACATTAGGTTTGTTCCAACACAGAAATTTGTATCCGCACAGAGAAAACACTATCGTATCTACAAAGATAATATCATTAGGCAAACATACATTACTTTCCTCATTCCTCGACTATTTGCATCATGTTATTGCTTACGGAATATATACTATCACTGAAAAGGTCGCAGTGGATCAAGCCAATAGCCACCTCGAAGAAGTTAATCTAATATATCTATAAATTTCTAAAAATAACTCAAAATTTAAGTGAGGATGCAGTCAATAATCACCACATAGGCTAATAAAACTAGTTTTTTCACTTTGCTTATCTTTGAGAGTCGTTTCACTGAGTCAATAGCAAAAAATCTCTGCACAAGGTTTTAACATTAGCATCATATGACACTGGAATACAAGGACATTTCCTTTATAAAATATTAAAATTCATATCCAACGACATTACTTTTCCTTTAAACACAAAACAAAAAAGATTTTTTTAAATTTGCTAAACTAATTTCTACATTGTAGTTTCGAGCTCAATCAAACACTGACTGAAACAACAATTGCTCGAAACAACAAAGTAGAAATTAGTTTAGTAAATTTAAAAACATCTTTTTTGTGTTGTGCTTAAAGGAAAAGTAATGTCGTTGGATATGTATTTTAATATTTTATAAAGGAAATGTCCTTGTATTCCAATGTCATATGATGCTAGTTTTTAAGGCCTTTTTGTGCAGAGGATGTTTTATTGCTAATTGACTCAATCAAACTGTCCTGATGATGGGAATAAAATTCTCGAAAGCTTGACAAATTTTAAAAGGTAGTTTTATTAGCCGATGTAGTGATTATTGACTGCATCCTCACTTAAATTTTGAGTTATTTTTAGAAATTTATAGATATATTAGATTAACTTCTTCAAGGTGGCTATTGGCTTGATCCACTGCGACCTTTTCAGTGAAAGTATATATTCCGTAAGCAATAACATGATGCAAATAGTCGAGGAATGGGGAAAGTAATGTATCTTTGCCTAATGATATTATCTTTGTAGATACGATAGTGTTTTCTCTGTGCGGATACAAATTTCTGTGCTGGAACAAACCTAATGTATCCAAAGCCTGTGTATCATTATTTAGAGCAACAACCGCAATCTCCACAATTAATTTAATAATGTATATAACCTTAACAGTTATAGGACCGAGTAACCCTCGATCCTATTTCAACACGTGATATTTAAACACCAAACAAATTAATGTTAATCGCATTAGACCAAATGAAAATGAAATTAAAATTTAATTACCTCGCAAGCAAAAGGGTTTGAAAATAATATAATGAAATATTTATGTTAGGATCAGGGCGGTCGTGCCCTTGGGCGGCAGATTAAAATGTATCTTTTAGGTTTTAGATTCGATGATTTATTGAAGCTTTGTTTTTTTTTTATTTTGGGCTGTAATCTAAAAGTTAAATAAATGTCTGAGCGGTATAAAGAAGAATAAGATAGGTATTTATTAT